AAGAACCTCAGTGACCGAAGCCCGCGGCTTACCACTAAATCAGCTCGCTCTTCAAGGATATCAACCAAGGGATGCAGCTAGGGCTAGCAGGTGATTGTGATATTGGCGTGGCGTTTGGCGGGATTTGAACTTAGAACCTCAGGGACCGACGCCTACTCCACCACTAGATCAGCTCGCCCTTCGAGCACATCAGCTATGCGATGCAGCTAGATAGAGCTGGGAGGAGATTGTGACATTGGCTGGTGAATGAGCGACCCCGCTGCTGCACTTCCGTATCGCCTGCTGCACCGGTCTACCTTCAAACAGTACTTCCTATCGTCACGAGATCATATCCAGCTGACCCTTCACAGTGAAGCGGAGCGAGTGCCGTCCTATGTTTTGCCGTGGGGGTCATTACCTGTCAAAACTGTCAGTTAAGCCCGAGTACCGTTTCCCCAGAGCATAAGAGTGATTCAGCAGATGGGTATTAGTGGAAGGGTGTGTAGTGGGCAGGATGTAACGGAGACCGGGTACAGTTTCTTAACTGGGCTACCATATCGATTGAAAATATCGATTCGTTTAGTAAACCTGCATTCACATTTTTCATAATCAGCAAGTTTGTTAGGTTAGGTCATAACAGGTTCATTTTATCCCTAAAACAAGTTTTGCTCATCTTGACCCCCCGGTCGGCCTTTCCACTCCCATACCGCACCGTGGAACCGGTCACTGATACATGGCTAGCACTCGCACCGCCAAGCCTCAGGCTGAAAAATTACCTTCGTCAAAGTTTTTAGATAACTGCCACTCGGCCCTGCACTCCCCTTCACAGCATTCTCATCGCATAGAAATTTCAACAGAGTAAACCCTCACTTGACCAGAATACGGGTGTGAGATTATCCAGATCGATGAAAATCATGATTGCTTGATAAACCAAGAAATGTAGCACTCTTCCAGAATGTAGTCACCCCTTGTGAAGCACATGTTGGGGAGATTTTCGCTCGAAACGAATTTAACGACAAGTGCCTTTTAAATACTTAAATGCATTTAGCGTAGGAGACCTCGATCGAACAACCAACTAATGGCTAAACACACAACGATTTAACACTCATTGTTCTCTTAATTCGATAAGCAACTGTAATAGATTAATGTTGATCATTGGCAATGTGACAGTACTTACATCTTGTTAAACAATAATAGTTTTCAAATTAAGTATTAAATATTTAAATTGGTCTACTTCTTCAGGTTTTACATTGTCCATCAATCCAAAAGCCAATTAAGAATTGCTTTAACCACAGAAGCGAAATTTACTTAACAACGTTTAAATAACAATAATAAAGAATTTTCTACAAAAATCTGAATAATAGATCCAAAAACTCTTCAGTAAGATTTAATTAGTAAGGTTTAAATAGCAATGATAAATAAATTAAGCTTTTATAGCGCAGCGGACTACAGCGGCATATCAGGAAGGCCGATGGCATTGTATGAAGCAAGGCTATGCCGGACTGCCTTCAGGTTCAAGTTCACTTCTTGTCGAGAGAATTATAAATAATTAATCTCTGTTTACTGTTTCCCCATCACAAAGGCGTTAATAAGCGATTCTTTCAAATATGAGACAGGCACGAGAGTGGAAATTATGATTGTATGGTACGTCAATTTACGTGTTTATATTTTCCTAAGCCTTCTTCATTATTATTGTCATTATTGTCATTGTTGTCATTATTGTCATTGTTGTTATTGCAGTTATTGTTGATTGTTATTGATTTCAACTGCAGTACACAAAGTTTCGGGAGGTATGGAAACTACTGCCATTTTCAGCGAGAAAACAGGAGGGGTTGGAAAACTAGAGTTGATTGTTTTCATAAAGTGAACATACTTCAACTATATGTGGAGCATACTTCACTTGACGGCGATTGTTCAGAACACAAAGTAACATGACTTCAACTATATCCAGGTGCCTACTTTACTTACTTCTAGAAAAGGTACTCTTAGAAATGTGAAAACTAGATTTGATTACTTAGGACACAAAGTCAAAAGATTCAACTATATTCATGTGCCTACTTTATTTACTACCGCATATACTCTACATGACAGAACTTGTCTCCAGGCACTCTAAATTGGGACTGGAGCTAATCTCAGGTAGACGAAGAGTTAGTAGACAGGTTCCATCATACAGTCTATAGATAATGTCGTATTTGAGATTTGCAAACTATAGCCGATCCATACACAAGGTGACAAGAATTCAACTATATTCAGGTGCCTACTTTACTTGCTACTTCTAGGCAAGGTCCTCTGAATCATCCGAGGTCGTCCTAGAGTTCCTGGTGGAACGGAGTCCGCAAGCGATAAATTAAACATCTATTACAGGAAAACACAGCTGATCAAAGGGACATAGTGGAAAAAAAATTGGAATACAATACGGAGACAATGAAAGGAAAAACTTAACCGGAAAATTGTTTTTCTATGAAATAGGAGCGTAGTCGTAAGACGAAATCGTTAGAATCAAGAATCAAGAATTTATTCACCAACAGTATACAATAGGTGTCGTCAAAGTATATCTATATCTTAAAACGGAAAAATAAATTAAACAGTAAAGATACAATTTAGAAAGAAGAAAAAAGCAGAAACAATTTTAAACACAATGTTGGGGGAAGAAAAGAACTGAAAATAAATACTTAAAAATAAATATTTAAAATGACAGAAACAAAAGCATAGCTGTTCAGAAACACATTAATTACATAATAACCTTAGGCCTATTTGCATTTGCAAATCATTCATTATAGTGGTTGAAGATAGAACAAATGTTTATAGGAAAATACTATTACTATAAAGAAATCCCAAATGCATAGTGAATAAGTACAAATTGTTAAGAATTTACAATTTTTATCATGTTTTGTCTACAGTCTCATAACATGCAAACAAAATATTTTGTACAGTTTTCAATTATTGATAAAGGAAAGGTGTCAGTTCTTGGTTATAAACATAAATTTATTTTTGGGGGCATTTTATAAAGTTAGGTTGTTAATCAAAATTCACTGACTTAGAACATGTTTAACTTTCTGCACGCGATTCTAAAACCTATTAACAAATTGCAATCATGCCACTAAACAGCAAAAAAGAGCAAAAGAAGATACATAACTGAATATTATCCAAGTTTAGATTTTCAAACGACAACAATTGTACACAACACACAACAGTTTGTACACAAAGAGCTGTCCAAAACCATCCGGTAATCACACCTAGCGATGGTTATCTGTGATTAACGGTTTGGTGAAATCGTCAACTATAACGGCAACCCCCTCTCTATCGGTGGGATGGAACCTATTGTTATTGGTCAATGGAAACATGGATGTCGAACCACCGGGAGTTCTTGGTGGGGATCGAACCTAGAACTCTGTGGAATAAGGGTGTGGGAACAATATTTTGATGATTTGACTCGTTCTATTAGTACAATCATAGGAGTGTTTATCTATAAAATTAACAGCCGAAACGAATGCACATTTTGTATGACAATTTTACAGCGATAATATTTTAACATAGCAGATGGGCTTAGCGTCCATCTGCAAACAAAATGTAATTTTAAGTTATTGGTTGGTATGTTCTCAAAGTAAGATTTCCAATAAACCTACTCATTTGACCCTTTCTTTTCATTTAATTAGCTAGGATGGTTTTAAATATTGATAACCAATTGCTTAGAATTATATTTTATACCATAACATATTTAAAAGCTCGTTTAGCTCTAAAGCTTTGGGCAGTACATTATTGCTTATATCCACAAGTTCGCCCCTGGTTCAATTTTATTTATTGGTATATTTTTCTTTATGTAGGTTTTCTATAAATACAAATTCAACAGCTTAAAGTTTTGATACCTGTATTTTTATATTTTTGGTTTAAGAAAATTAATTGTGGTTCCTACTTGTATAATATAATTAATTTAAATGTATTTAAATGATCCTCAACAACATAACATTTGTTATGGTTCTAAAGCGTGTAGGGAATATAGATATTTTTAACGACAACTGGTTTGAATAAATTTAAGGTTATACTGTAAAATGTATAGTTTTATTGATGTATTTTAAATACTGGTTAAATGATTGTCACCTAACTAGTCTTAAACACATAGATAACAGTTATCCTTCAAGAATAATATTCATAGGCTATCTATTCCTATTATATTCATTTCTTACTTAAGTTACTCGATAGCTTGGAATACTTTAGATAAGTTAATACAATTCAATTATAATATCACAATACACTGACATCTATTGGTCAATAAACGATATGCAAAAGAATATTCTTAACTATAATTTCAACGTTATTCGCATTCTTTGAGGCTCGCCTTGAAGTCACAACTACTGCGCAGATACCGGTGCAGCTATTGCGCACTTGTTTTTATTTTGCACGTTGTAAACAAATCGTTTCAATTCCAGTCAAATTCCTACCGAAATTATCAAGAGTATAATTCTAAAATATAGTCCCGCACTATCAACTGTGTGAATAGAATTCAGCGTAAATTACAAATTTTGAGGTTATGTTTCACCTTTCCAAACACAAGTTGATAATTCCTAAAACCGTTATGTTTGATTGTAGCATTGACTTTTGTTTTGGAAGTAAACATCCCATTTTGGACCAGCAGAAAATCCTATGTTAAAGTAAAACATAATAGAATGAACTAAGGGCGCACTGTTTGCAAAATTCTATTATCTCCCTTAGTTGCTTATCACTTTAATTTGACATAAAGATGCTACAGTTTACACCGAATTCTCTGTTCAGTGTAGCTTGGTTTGAAAGTCACAGAATTCAGCAGAAATCAGAAATTGGCATACGCGAACTCTATTGGGGGATCAATTTAACTTAAGTTCTTTTTATTAAATTGGCAACCGCTTGAATTTGCAATTGGGACGTATACACCAAAGGCTGCAATAGTATCCATCATTCTCCAACTCTACCAGAAAATTGCAAAAAATATTCAACTAAAAAAAACGTTTTTGTAAATTAAAAAAAAAATAATTTTTTTAACTTACGGTAGGAGGGTCTCCCGTGTTGTAAAAGCGCACATGTTTACCACATCACAGTACAGTCACACCCGAGTACCGAGTTCGCAGTTCGCGCGTCCACCATGCGCCAAAGTAGGGCAGGCACTGAACACCGCACTCCGACGGACTTTCTCCCCTGTACTTCCTGGACATGGGGTTATACAACGTTCACGGCCACCGGGGGGTACAGGGTACAGGGTGTAGGATACACCCTCAAGGACAGGGGAGCTGGAAGATGTGCAAAAACTGGCGGGAGTTTGCAGTTCAGGTGGGGTTTGAAAACACTGAAGCTTTTTGAGAAACGATTAGTGGTTTTGGGTTTTTTAAATTGCTATATTACGGAATGTAAGTGAAAACAAGGTTGAGCATAACAAACTTACTGTTACAACTGTTACAAATTTATTAAGTTTATATTATCTATAGAATAGAATGCGTTGAACTTATACGAATCATAGTCATCGGGTTTTCAAATTTATTGCCAAGTTTGTTCATTAATTTGATTAACGATAAGTGGAGACTCCTTGAGAAGTTAATCTTCACTTTGGTTTTACAGTAGGGCTTCACTGGAAGTACTGATATTGGTTGGTGTATCTGAGATCAATTTTAAACAATAAACATGAAAAAGTTTACTTGAGATACCATTTAGAATTGTGTATTTAAAAAAAGGTATTGCAAGTGATACATTTTTTAATGATTAAGTTTTAAAGCTTTTTTGTGTCCATGCCTAATTTTTAGCTTTAAGTTAAATTAATTTTTTATAGCTGCATTTACATGTGTAGTTGAATAAACGGAAAATTATTCTTATTATTATTATTATTATTATTAAATTATTATTTTAGTCAATACAAAAAACCCAACTGAACTGATAACACGGGTTTCAATGTTTGTGTTTAATCTAATATGTTTTTTGCAAAGCTCCCTGTAGGGAATAAGCTAAAAAATTATGCTAAACTCTGTTCTACAGCATAAACCAAAATTGCTCTTTATTAATAGAGTAGATATTTTCAATGAAGGGTTGCCTTCAGCCAAGACGTTTTCCAACTCCAGCTAAATTTTGTAAAATGTTCCCATCCCAAACAGCTTTAACATCTTCAAGAAGTGTTCTCTAGACGTCTCTTAAGTTAATAGTTACATTTTCAATACCCATCTAAGCATTACCGCTTTTCTATTTGCTTATAGTAAAGACTAAGACCTAGGCTTACATACATTGTGACATAGGACATAGCCTACTTGAAAGCTAAGCCAAACCAGCGAAGGCAGGGTCAGGGCAGTATGCGGGTTGTGTCAATGTCCTCCCGAAATTAACTACGGGTCATTGTAATATTAGTGAAATCTCAGTCTAACCATGGGGTTTTTGTAGAAATCGATTACTAAGTAAGAGGTGTTAGGTTCAAGCATTAGTAGATACACTATGTGTAAACCTTTTATTTGTGTTTTTCCACGCCATTGGATTTTTGGATTTTTCAAGGAAACTGTAAAACAAATCCTAAGAATTGCTACTACCTGTTCTAGGTATTATGATTACGTTTTAACCAATATATTAGGATAGTCACCTTACAAATTGAATTATCAACAGAGAATGCAATGGTAAAATACCGTTAATTTTTAAGACAAAAAATCACTTTATCAGAACCACAAGATTTAGACTGTTTAGAGGTATATTCCATTTTGTTATCTTTGCGTAAAAACGGCTACAGCTCGCCCTTCATCGTGTGAGTAGGTGCTGAAATTTGTAACAGATATTACTGCAGTGTCCAAAGTTAGTAAATACCGATCATGGTCATAAATACTTAGCCTACATTTTCTGTGTAAAGTCTAAGATATAAACTACACAAAAATAAATACTGTTACATCTAGAACAAAAAAACAGTTGCACATCAAAATTGAATGAGCAGTGAGAAGACGTAAGAATTAGATATTCTTTTCAAACTAGCATAATTTGAACATTGTATAACGGTTATCTATTAAGTACTTTTTTACCAGTGCACTGCCTGGTTCGTACGCCCTAGGTTAATCGGCGCTGCCAAAGGTTAATATCTAAAATACTATGATAGGTTCTCATCGTAGTGAAAGGAAGGTTGATGAGAACACGCACATTTTACAAGGAAAACTGACAACATAACAATTACGAGTAGACTATTACAATAAATACTGTTATTAAATCCTTTTTATTCGGTAGTCTCGCTTATTTTATAAGTGAAAGATTCGCCAAATCCAACATGATGATTGCGCGAATAAGATGCAACTGATAACTCTACAAATTCTGTGTGATAAAAAGTTATTGAATAAATAGTTGGGCTCCTAAGTCGGTATAGCCCACACCTATATTGTATGTCCAAGATTGTATGTCCAATCCGGAAAAAAATCTGTGTTGTTATTCGTGTGAAACTAGGTGAAGCTTTCAAACTGTTCTTGGCTATTAAAGAAATCTATATATTCATAGGCAAGCATGTTTCTTTAAAACATTTTTTTTCTCAGCTCTAGTGTATCGTAGGGAAATCCACGAATACCGTTAGAAAGATATTTTCCTGCAGATGTGCAAAATCTCTTTATAAATTAAAATAGGCACAAAAATAAGCACGAAAAATGAATTTAAAATTTTGAAAAAATTAACATGGTTTTGGGTTGCCATGCTGGTGACGAAATAACAACGAAATATAACCCGAAAATCAAAACAAATTAAAGAAATTCCAATCATGTTTTATTTACAGCGTAGGGTGAAAATAGAAAAGTATGTATACATATTTACATATTTATATTTTTGGTCGAGTTTTCGACCACTGGACGACCTCCAGTACGAGTAAAATGGTCGAAGGGTGGTATACACCTGGTCTTAGTAAAAATGCTACATAGGCAATCTCACATTTTCATTCATCCTCCACCCATATTCTGCCGTGCGTTACGTTACTGAATTAAATTACTGTTTCTACCAAGGATTTTATCCAATCCTCCTACGAGGACAACTTACTGAAAACTATATAATCTTTTTTGACATATTAATTATCAAATTACCAAAAACTAAGGGGAGAAATATAATTTTACCAGCAGAGCAATCTGTGAGTAGTTCATTTAACTGTGGTTGCACGAATAAACAATTTGCTTCAACTAGTCCTTATAACTTTCTTTCAGGTATATAAAAGTCAATTGTCTCACACTACCTACACCATATCCACGACATGTCCTCTTAACGTAAAAAATATCTTTCTTTCCCTCCTAAAAACGTCCTATGCCCAAGCGAATACAGTATAGCACAATAAACCTAGATCCGACACACTCATAAGACATTATGAGTTTTATGGTGACAGCAACAAATATTCCCGGGATCAGACTATTCTATGAAGTAAGATAGTTGATTTCCCCCATTACCCAAGCCTTGGCATTTGCAGTGTCAAGGCACCAGACTTCAAACAACTCCACAGCTAGTGTCAGTCTCCAATACGTCATTTGGTAAACACCGTATCACGACAAATAACTGGTCATAAACACTAATAACTAGTTAATTAACACCGGTTAAGAGGTATGATATTGATTTATCTGTCGCTTGGCGTCTAGATTAGCATTACGTGTACTTATGTGTTATAATACGTATACTTAAGTTAAAGATTTGTCCAACACTTCTGGCATTTGAATTATGTTCCTCCCGAGGCAGAATATAGCTTTTGTAACTGCCACTACGGCCTCATCTTTATGTAGTGAAAAAGTCTATCATTGTATGGACTAGTTTAAGATATGTACGTAGTGAGTTTCTGCATAGTAATATACAGACTGTCCCAAAAGTCCCGGACCGGTTTAATATTTTCTAAACGACAACAGATAAATCAATAAGATTTGGTACATCAACACCACACCTAAAAATCTACTTTTTTAGGGAAATATCAATTTTCTTTCACATCATGGGGACGTCCCGCAAGGAGTCAGAAGGAAATCTTAAATAGAAGCATAGGTTGACATGTACATCAAATTAAAGGTCTTTACTAGCAGAATATAATGCCGCAAATTTTAACTCAAACGGACAACCAAGTCAAGAATGACAGTGGTTCAAAGATTCATTTAATTTGCATTTGGGGGCACAGCCCTAGGAATCGTAAAAATATTGTTAACGTAAGCATAGGTCGATATGCACATCAAATTAAAGGTCTTCACTAGTAGATTACAATGCCGTAAATTCAAGCTCAAAAGAACGCTTCAGGTTCAAGAAATCTTTGAACGGCTGCCATTTTTTACTCAGGCGTTCTTTTGAGCTTGAATTTACGGCATTGTAATCTACTAGTAAAGGTCTTTAATTTGATGTGCATGTCAACCTGTGCTTCTATTTAAGATTTCCTTCTGACTCCTTGCGGAACGTCCCCATGATATGACAGAAAATTGATAGTTCCTTAAAAAAGTAGATTTTTAAGTGTGGTGTTGATGTGCAAAATCATATTGATTTAACTGTTGTCGTTTAGAAAATATTAAACTGGTCCGGGACTTTTGGGACAGTCTGTATGTTATCAGTGCAAGAGTGACCAGGTCGCTTCCTAAGTTCCCAATAACACTAAACCGTGTAGACAACAATGCAACACTGGATATCAGCTGATCGGCAATAAAGTAAAGGATACAGAGCTTGAGGATACCAACTTATGAGCTTTTTTCCTAAAACAGTGAATATATGTATTTTCGGTTGCGTTTAGTAAAGCACACTGTTCTATTGTAATTAACTAAATATACAATAGGGGTACATATTTTCCTCCCCTCCTACAGTTTTCTGCAGCCTCGATCCTATCTGACTGACCTTTAGCAACACTTTCGCCACCAATCCACCAGAAGGTCGGCGTTATCTTCAGATTTCTCTTTCAGCTCACATCGTCTAATGCATCTTTGACCCTGCGGAATCGCTTTTTAATTGCAAGAAAGAATCGCGTTATTCTCACGATGAGTTGTGATTCTCGGACCTCTTTGGACGAAATGAGACTCGTGAAATTAGTGGGAGAACTTTTAGAACTGCCACGGTGGCACTTTCCTTTTCGAAGTCTGTGGTTATAGTCTCTAGGCTTGTTGGTTATAGGCTTGTTTCGTGTTGTTAAGTATCTGTTAAATCCTAACTTCCTTATAAGT